TGCCAACTAAACATCAAAATAATAAATAATATAAGGACATAAGCTACTCATAACAAGGTTCACCTTTTAGCCTCCTTGGTTTTCTAAAGATCAAATCTTTAGTAAATTTTGATTAAAAAGGATGAAAATTATGATTGAAAAGTTCATAAAAGTTGTAGATCTAATAAAAACTTGTGCTTAAAATTAACTATTCATTTTGAGATAAAATTCTTTCAACTTTTAACTAAATCAAATAAGTTTAGTATGAAACTTCAAGTCTTCATATTATATCAAAATCGATTAAGCTTAAAGCGAGCAAATTGATCCATTTAAATCTCAAAAACGTCTCAAACAAGACACGGTCTTATAGGATTGGATAAAATATTCTGAGTAATAAACAACATATAATAACTTGAGCTATTTCTCTTAATTAGGTTGATAATTTAATATGGAACCGTTAACTTAACAAGGTATGCTCGATACACTAAATAGGACGAGATTAAGACTCAACAAATCATCCACTCGTGATGTAGTATTAGACACTATTACCTAAGCTCACGTCGTATACTGTGTAAAAAAACGTGGTGTCCAAGATCTTTAATATGTATAGAACAACGATTCAATATAAATGAGGGAATATACCACCTGGAAAGAAATGTGATTATCCTTTGGATTAATGACAGTTTTCTTCGGAAAACTTTCTGGATCTTCAGATTGCAATAAATGGATCCCTATTCCATGGCCAAATAGCCTGCAAAATTCAAGAAATGAACAAATCCCATCAAGAAAATCTAGTATTTACAAAAGGAATTTCATTTACATTCAAGAATCGAAAATATATATTGGGATTACCATGATCCATCAAATTTCAATGATCCAGGCCTCCTAACAGGAACAAATCCAAGAATGTTTTCATAAAAATCTGTAGATTCCTCGACCGATTTACACACCAGAGAAATATGATTCAAAGATGATAAATGTAATGGGTTTCCCTTATTCTCCTTCATTTTTCTCCAACAAATGCAAGAAGTGGATAAAGATTGAGGGAGAGATAAGAGTGTTTGTAATGGTTTTAGAGAGAGAAGGAGACTAAGCTGATCACGGCACTTCGAAGAAAATTAATGGAGGGGTTAATTTGAAGAGAACGAGAAGATGATTACAACTATATAGGAGGCTGAAGGTTCTACGTGCTTGCCACATAGGCATTTCATACGTGTCAGATTTATGATCCATGTGAAATGTGGGCCCGAAAGGTCTGACGTGGTAACAGCTCACGTCTATCGACGATGGGCCCCAGAAAAACAAAAAGAATGCTATCTGGTGAAGTGAGTAACTACTGTATGATACTATTACATATATTACTTTTATATTTGAGTAATGCTACGTAGTCTCATCGGAGTTGCATCCTCAATTTAGGTGGCGTTAAATAATAGGTTAATTAAAAGGTAAAATTAAATGAATCATTTAATATCACATTAGCGCTTTCTAGACTAAAGTTGCAACCTCAATAAAGTTAGATAACAATATTCTTTATATTTATTAATAAAGAAATTATTTTCAAACTACCCACTTATTGATATGGTAGGAGGACTTTACTTACGTTTCTCTCCAAAGCGGATAAAATAAGAGAATAGGAGTGTTATTAATAAATACCATAAATTTATGTTAAAAATAGTATTTTTCAATAATGATTCCTACTTTTTTGTAAAAATAACTAGATACTTAAATGCAAGAAAACGTTTGGTTAGCTATTTTTAATTTTATAAGACACATAAAACTTATTTTGGTAATTTTGAAAATAAGATTAATTATAATATAAAACTTGAAATATATATATATATATATATATATATATATATAGATATATATATATATATATATTTATTTTTTTAGCGTTTTTGATTAAGACATTGAAACACTCAAAACACAAGAAATAAAAGTAATCTAATTATACCTTCTTCCCCAAATCTCACCCCTCCCCTACGCCTTTCCAAGCTACCACTCCTCCCCTCCACCACTATCGTTTTTCGTCAATTTTTCACCACCTTCAATGTAGAGCCTCGAAATCCCAACCCCAATCAAACTCAAAATTTCTAAACTCAAATTAGTTACAGGAATTTCTTTAGGAATCACGGTTCTTGTACATATTGTCTGTTGGTTATATTTAGTACTTAATAAAAAATAGTTGATTAGAATAAATTTTTTTCTTAAACATGTGGGCTTATTGTTGCAAGAAAAACTCCCTAAAAGAGAAAGGGAAAAATTCATAACGCGTGTATATTACTTACACCAATTCAAATATTAGGTAAATAGTTTGAAAATTCAAAATTCAGGTATATATTTAATCAATTAAAAATATTTATTAATTAAATGTAATAAAGTCACAGTTCTAGAATTAATGGTCACAGATACACGATAATTTATTTATTCGTCACATATTATCAAATTAATTAGTCACAGATTATTTCGAAATCATAAATAAAAAATTTAGAGGTCACGGATTATTTCAAGATCAAATTATTTGGTCACGGATTATCAAAATTTTAGGTTACAATTAAATTGTTAGTCACAAATAAATAAATGGTTGGTCACATATGCCAAATAGTGGTCATTTACCGCCATCACCATCGTTACCGTCATTGCCACCACAACAGCACCAACACCAACACCAATACCAATACCAACACCAACAAAATCACCACCATCAAATCAAATCAAATGCCAAAAAAAATAAGGACAACCACAGCCATCATCAACTACCTCCGTCGCTAGAAACCACCACTACTGCTACCACCAAACACAACAACAATATCTAACCCACAACCTCACCAACACCACCCACATCACCCCTGCCAAAACTAACACCTCCACAGTGGCCAGAAACCAGCACAATCGCCACCACCAAACACTGTACAATTTGATCCAAAATCAGAGTCATGCTGCGTGGAGCCACCACCACTCTTGTGAACACAACCACCAGATCTACCAACAATTCCCAAATCGTCATTGTCACAACCTTTTCAAATCGGAAAGAAAAAGAAAAAAAACCCAAAACCCACTTCACAAGCTGTTTGAGCCAAAGGACGACACTGCATTGATGGATTGCAAACACCACATGCCTCGTAGCGGTTGTCGGTCGGTGCAACTCCGTCATCGTCGATTGTCGGAGTTTGAATGGGTTGCTGCGTAGAAGAGAGAGACCGGAGAGAAAATAAGAGAGAGAAGGGAGAGAGGTAGAGAGAAGAGGAAGAAGAAGAAATTAAAATAATTCAGGATTAGGGTTTGTATAAATTGATACATGATTTATGAATAAATAAAAGTCCATCCTTGAATTTTGAATTGTCATCTTTAAACCCTCGAAATTATGTAATTTCCACAAAGAGAAAAGTCACCCACGCCATCTACCCCTCACCCTTGCTTACATTGCATTTACACTTAACAAAACTTCATTCAATATCATATATGATTGGCATGATCGTTGTGTTGACACATAAAAATTCAGCCCAAATCGAACAGCCCAAGGAGTGAAGCCCAATTGAAAGATTCCCAAATTAGATAGCCCAAAGAACGAAGCCCAATCAAACAAATCAAGATGAATGACCAAATAGGAAGGCCCCAAGAACGCGGTAATGCCATCGCCCAAGTTTGCAAGTCGCCCAGAATCTGAGCGAATGGAGTGTCATACAGTCGCCCGGAGCTGTTACTCTATTCTCGCCCAAACCTTCAAGTCGCCCAAGGTCTTAACAAGCATAAAGCGTCGTGGTTATCAAGAAGTGCAGTTATCAAAGCAGTTATTAAAGCAACCCCATCACGTTCCACGATTCAAGGAATTCAATCGAAAGCGGTTGAACGATGAAGAGTAATGGCAGCAGTTAAAAAATGCAGTTTTCATGACAAGTTGGCCATTACAAAGAAAGTGGGCAGTTATAGGACGATCAAGCAGTTTTTAGGCGGTTGATCACAAAGAGATTGTCCATGAAGTATAAAAGGGAGAAAGGACATAGAAGCAAAAGACCGAATCCAAAACTCTCGAACAGAGAACATGTAATTTTCATTTTCTTAATTTTTAGATTTAAACACTTTTCTTTCAGTAACTCGTGTGCTTGCGCCCCTTAGAGGCACGTTGTTTTTTATTTCCAATTGTAAAGTCATCGCCAATAAAAGAATACCCATTTTGGGAACTTTGTCTCAAGAGGTTTTGTCCCTTACACAATCATCTGATCCTTTTTAATTGTTAGCGAATAACCCGTGCGAAACACGTTGATTAATTACTAATTTCTCGAATATCAAAGAAAAATGAAGAAACTTATAATTAAGGGAAAATGAAGAGAACATTTAGTTTCAAGCAATTGAAAATTTCGCATTTGATATGAACCAAGGGTTCCATGATTCAGTAATTAAAACTTCAGACACCAACTGCGTTAGGATTTGGAATAGGAACATATTGTGGTTTTGGTGGGATTTGGATTACGCAAAAAATTTTAAGTTAACAAAGGTTCTTATTTGCGGTATTTTGGTTTCCATCTTTGCAACTTTTAATTTGCGATCTAAAATTGGATTCAACTGTTTGGATTCTGAATTTTTTAGTTCGATTGTGGTTGCAATTTTGGAGCTTTACATTGGCGGTCGTGAAAAATCATAGTCATACAGAAAGTGTGTTGTATTTAAATAAAAAATTATATCAATTAAATTGTATTTAAAATTAAAAAATTATATCTAATAAATCTCAAAATCTACAAAATTATAAAATAAAAACATAGTCATACATGGAGTAGAAAATATTCGATTAAATTACTTTATCATTGCAATGTTAATTAAAGGAAATACTTTTATTAGGAAGCGCTAAAATTAACATTTTAATGATATATAATTAGAAAAGTTAAAGCCAAAGTTGAATATAAAAACTACTATTTTGTTGTTACCAAAATATGCTGCCGATGGTACATATTCTTTACTAATGGCTTTTTAAAAATTTATCAAACGTTTAAAATTGTTGTAAAATGTTTAACAATAAAAAATTGAACTCTAAAATCAATCTCAAATGGGATCTTAATAAATTAGCTAATTTGCACCAAGATCCTGAATTTTCGTTTTTGAATAATATTTCTGCATTCAAAAACCCATCAGCATAAAAATTGAACAAAAAATCAGAGTCCAACATGGTTAATTTTGGCACAGCTCTTGTTGAGCTCCACATTTCTGCACATACCAGCCTAACATGTATATTAAGCTAGAAATTAGCCCCTCATGGGGTGGTCGAGTTTGTGGAGTAGGTGAGCGCAGAGGTCTTTGGTCACGAGTTCGGTTCTCCCTACCAATACTTTTTCAGTCAAATCTGTTGTACTGGACTTGCCTAATGCTGTTTATCTGACTGGCGTAATTTGCAGGCTATTGTGTCAGTCCAAGGATTTACCCAGTGTGCACCCGAATGGTAGCGACTGTGGGTTCCCCCGTCATCAAAAAATATTAAGTTAAAAATTACGGATTGTGTTAAGATAAATTATAGTATTTCTTAAATATGAAAATAACATCGTTTATAAAAATTTGAACTATTTCTTTTAACGAAATTGATATATACAAATTTGAATCACACCACACTCTAATTAAAGTATTGCGCTCTAGAAAGAACTAGTGTGTATTGATAAACGTGTCTTAATTTTCAAGTGAAAGTAGAACTAGAATTTTGTTCTACTATAGTGTGTGCCTACTAAATTTCCATAAAGATTACACATAGACAAGCATAATTAAATGTAAAACAGCTGTTTACACATATAATATTAAAATCTACTAAACAATAAAATAATACAAGACACAACAATGTTTTGTCTAGCCAACTTGTTTAACATGTGGGATAGTTGATTTTATATAGTGTCCTGTTAAACTCTTGATCAAGTTTTAATCCGATGATTTGCGTAACATTTTAAATCGAAGTTGAATTATACTTGGTTATTTGAGGAGTTGAAGAAAAGTACCAAGAAAAATTGTCAAGGGTTGACATCACAATGCTAAACCACTCGAATGAATAAAATGTTAGTTACTCGAAAAGAAAAAGTAAGCATACACGAGATTTTCTTAGGTATTTTCTAATTAGTGATTGTATTAAAAATGAGATTGATTGAGCTTTCCTCTATTATTCCTCTAACTACGATGATGGTCTTGAAATAACAAGAATCCCGACAGTATCAAAATTGACACTAAGACTTTTCAGGATGGTATTAGGATAATTATCGTTCATAAGATTGCCACAAATAATTTTTCACTTTTATTATTTCGTGATCAGCTTAAATACCTAATATTGTTGAAGCTTTTCCTACATAGAGGAATTTGTCAATTACATTAAATTCACTGTCTTGTCAAGTGCTCGTCAAACATCTAATGAAAGCAGGGTCCGTCAATCAAAAAACAAGCACATCTACAAGTACATAACCACCATTTAAAATAAATGCTATTTTAATGGAATATATGATGAATATGTCTAAGAGGATTAATATGGTGCACCTATTTTAAAAGATTGAGACCTAACTAATACACAAATCGACTAAAAGATAGACTAATACTGCAATTTTGTCTATTGCTAACTATCACTATGTTTTTTCATGCATGGTGTATCTTTGTCAACATGCACTAAAAGTTTAGTAATGGGCCACGACATGAAGTAAAGTGAACCTTTTGACAATTTTATGTACTAAAAAAAGCTTCGTGGGTTTTCACTCATATTTTCACAAGTGCTTTTTGGATTTTTCATTTACTATGACGTTGAGTTGTGACAAATGTTAAAAAAGTTCGCAATTGAAAGCATTATGCATATATTTCTGAAGTTAAAATGTTTGTTTAATCAAACATATAACGATGTCCTAGACTTGATCTCATTCTGAAAGATTTTTTAATATAAAAGGGTCGGGAGTCATTTATCTTAATATTATTTTTCTCCGAAACTTATTTAATATCAACTTTTTGAAAGTCTAGTGTGTTTTATGCTGGCATTGTCGCATACTACTTATGAAATAAAAAAAAATAGAAAAAGGAAAAAGTTGAAGAGAAAGAGGTTTCAATGATAGTTACATCGTTTTGTAAAAATGTTTTATAATGAGTTTTAGCTGTCGTTTTACTAGTTATTTTAAAACATAAATATGTTACAAGTACCGCAAATTTATTTGTTCCACCATTTTATAATCAGAGAAATGCTACTTGTACATAGTGGTGTACAGATTTATTTATTTATTTATTATAGAGACTCTGAGTCAAGATAACATAAATAAGGAAATAGTTGTGCAGAACGTCTTGCTAACATGGGAGAAATGCACAAAAAAAGAAAAAAAAGAAGAAGAAGAAGAAGAAGAAGAAGAAGAAGAAAGTATGGTCATGTTACACACCGAAATTCATAAATGTAACATAGTGCGTTTGGTTTACTGTTTTAAAGCTATGTTCGGTTTTCAATTTTGCAAAAAATAATAAAAACTAATTTGGTATGACATTTTTGAAAATGAATTTTCGAAAATGAGGTTAAACTTATAACATAAAACTTAAGATGTATTTTTTGACGTTTTAAGTGTTTTCAGCCAAAATTCTAAAAACACTAACAAATGGAAGACAAACATTTAAATAAAATTTAAAAAGTTAAAATTTTTAAAAAATAAAATTTTAAATTTTAAAAAACTATAAATCATAAAAAATAATTTTTATTTTTATTTCCTATGTTTTGAACTCAATTTATTTATTTATTTTTTGTTTTACTTTGTAGCAAAAAAAATATTGTAAACTTCACCAACTTTAAATATATAAGACTTGATAGTACTAACATAAAATTGTTATTTATTGAATAATCAAATTTCATGTAATAAAATATCATAAAATAATTTTCAAAATTTCAAACCAAATAAGTTTTCTAATTTTCTGTTTTGAGAAATAATTATAAAAATGACAAACCAAACACATTTTTAAAAGTATTAAAAGAGGCTTTCGAAACAGAAAAATGAAAATGAACTCAAATTCAAAATGAAAACTAAAATACAAACAAATTGGACCCTTAGTAGTTTGTGCATATATAAGTTGCTATTGTTAGAAGCTGATGAGTTTGCCATGCGATTTAATGAAGAAAAAGTGAAAAAAAAAAGGTTCATTTGGTAAATGCACTTTTGTCAAGGTGGAGTAGATAACACTGTCTTCATTTATACAAGTTTATCGCGTATCATTGAAGAACGAAAGTGTTAAAATCCAAACGATTGAGCTGCATGTAGTGTTATATTAATTTGGTTGTGCTCTATGTACATAATAATTTACGTAATTGTTATTTTATACATGATTGGTGAGATTTGATTGTGTTGGAATTTCTTCAAACAAATAAAAAAAAAAATTCTCTTTTTTTATAATTTATCTGTATGTAAATCATTATTTAACTCTTTATGTACAAGTCACATTATTTTAATTCAAAATATATAAAGGGCATGAACAATTTTTATACATAATAGAAATGAGTAATTGAGACGAAATTTTCATTTTTAAGTTGGCAGCCCTACTGAAAGAGTAATTGACAGCCCTACTGATCATTTTTTTAAAAGAGTAATTGAGACGAAATTTTCTATTTAGCCTCCATTTGGAAAAAAAAAATTATTAAATTTGAAAAAATAGAAATGAGTTATAAATAAGTAAATAATACTCATGAATCCATTAAAACGTATGATTGAAAATGAAGTTTGACTATTTATAAATTTTAACGAAGGGAGGCTTGGATTAGTAATGGTCAACCATCTGAACCATTAATTCAATAATTTGACACTTTGGCCATGTAAGTTGAAAGAGTGATCAGTAGGGCTATCAATGGATCGAATATGGAGTGGATCTGTCTAAATTCGATCCGATCCGTTAAAAAAAAATATCCGATCCTATCCGATCCGATAATCCGATCCGAATTTTTTTCCACCAATTTTTTTCCAAAAAAAAAAAATATTTTAACTATTTCGATGGGCTCACCTAATATACTAGAAGGCCCAAATCAATTTTTTATCCAAGTGATGCTCCTTTAGTTCCTTTTAAAGAAGATTTCTCTTGAAATGTTTGTGGAATACTATATTTTTAAAGGGTACTTCTTTTCTAATATTTTAGTGGTCTTTCAATGTAGGATACTACTTAATTGTCAATTCTAAGTGTTTATTAGTTTATTTTATTATTTTCACTAAAAATCATAGCCTGAACAAAATTAAAATAAAAAACAATATCAATTTTAACAAAGTAAATTATTTTTAGACATATTAATTATTAGTTTTTGATGTTATAAAATAAATTGCTATAGTTATTTTTATCTTATTTTAATTAATAAAAAATTAAATCTTTTTAAATATTTCAAGTAAAAATATTATACTATTATGTAATATTATTTATTATTTGAAAATTATGCGTAAAACATAATATAAGTTTCAAAATGGAAAAAATTATGTTTAATAAATTATGATATAATATATAAAATATATAATATTATTATAATAAATCGGATCGGATCGACATATATCTATATTTGCTCCATTTAATTAACGGATTATCGAATTCATATCTTAATCGGATTATCGGATTGAAACCTTAAATTCATCTCCCGTTAATTTCATCGGATTCGAATCGAATTCGGATCAAAATTCAATTCATTGACAGCCATAGTGTTCAGTGCTTTTGTTGAGTTTTGCGGATGTGTAGGAATGAGTAGGATCGGATCGTCTAAGTTGAAGGAGTGGTCCAACAAGTTAGCGTCAAGATTGAATGAAGCGTGTGTGGAAGGAGTGGTTCAACAGTCTAGTGCTTTGGCGGTGAATGTGTAATTCAATTACTAGTGCTTTAATCGAGTTTGTGGAGGGTAGAACCGATTCAAGTCGAGTCTCTTTAATTAAAGAGATTTAATTCTGACGTGGAACAAATATATTTCAGTTTCCAAACATCCTACTGGTTCAATTCGCTATCGGGTGAAAATCAAACCCTACCCTAACAAAAACCCTGTACTTGACGACACCAGATCAGAAAAATACATACATCCCAATATACGATGGAAGAGATTACGGAAGGAGTGAACAAGATGGAGATTGTGGAATCTCTGAAGAAGAATCGAATTCAAGTTTCTAATACAAAGAAGCCCCTTTTCTTCTACGTTAATCTCGCCAAGGTTTTTATTTATTTATCGATTTTTTATATTACTTTTATTCTTCTATTTTGTATTTTTATCGATTTGGCTTAGTAATTTGATTTTTAATGTATTCCCTTTGTAGAGATACATGCAGCAATACAATGAGGTTGAGCTTTCAGCACTTGGAATGGGTAATTATTATTAAAATTATTATTTTGGTTTATAATTTATCTATTATCTGATTTTTCTTAAATTTCTATAGCATTAACGCATCCACGACGCCTTAGATGCGAAAAGGAATATTTTTTGACATTTTCTTTTTGTTCTTTTTATTCTTATTCATCTGCTAATGATTATTGTGATGGGAAACATGAGGACGATGTTAATATCTCCTTTATCCCCTATGTAATGTGTTCAACTGTAGTCATATCCGTTGATTTTTCAATAGTAGTGACAACAAAATGGATATAATTATTTCCTCACTTTTGTGCATATTGTGGAGCACTAACCGTTGGAGCACACTCGATTCATATTCATTGCATTATTGTTGAAACTGCCCTGTACAAATAATTATGTAAAACTTAAATGGTAATTCTTCATATGAAGTATATGTGCATGTATCATGATTGAACATTATCTAGTGCTAAAAAGGAGCATGAAGAAGTATACATGCATATATCATGATTGAACACTATCTAGTGCTAAAAAAGAGCATATGTAAGTTTTCTGTATTCGCAGATTTTTGAAGTTTTCTACTGTAACGTCTGCTATTACTGCTTAGGTGATGATGTTCTACTCGTGTTTATGTTATTGCAGCAATTTCAACAGTTGTCTCAATTGCCGAAATTCTGAAGAACAATGGTTTTGCTGTTGAGAAGAGTGAGTTTTTTAGTGCACTTTTTTTAGACCAATTCATATACTTCAGTGAATGTGGAAGAAGTTACATAGTTATCGATGTTGAATTTGATTTTAATTTAAACCTGGCAGAAATCATGACGTCCACTGTGGAAATAAAAGATGACTCCAGGGGAAGGCCCATCCAAAAAGCCAAGGTTAGTCCTGCTGTACAAAGACTATTGATTTGCCTTATTTTTTCTAAGTGGAAGAAGATTTGGTTTGGTACATTAAAGGTTTTTCAAAAGCTGACCATCAAATCTGAACATTGATAAGCATGTCTACTGTGCACAGAAGAATATTATCTACTTTATCTATACTCACCGGTAGCCTGGCACGTGACCCTTCTTTTAGATAGTCACTATATAGAACTGCTAATCAGCTAGTGATTGATCTGTCACGAGGTATCTCTATTTGCAATCCATTAGTTTATCATATTACCACTGGGTTTCAGACGCGGGTGGGCTGCATGGCCTGGTTTTTTGGTCTCATAGGGTAGGGATTGATTGAGAAGAAACACTGTAAAACATAGTGAATTGTCCTATTTTCCTCTTTTCTTTTCTTTTTCCCCCCTAGAACCTACCGTATAGCCTATGTCTTTCCCAGAACAGATTTGCTTCTCAGCTTCTGTATTTTTGAGTTTGATCATGTTAACATACCCATTCTTATTTCTAAGGAAAGCTAAAATTAAGAAATAAGAGTTCATGAAACAAACAGTTGACTTTTTTGGTGCTGATTCTCGGAAATAAAATTTTCTCTAGTCAAAATTAGTTATTTAGCACCAATCTTCTGTGTTCGAGTTTGAATAGGATATACTTACAAATACATTTTTGTTTAGCTCCAAATCAACTTTTATTTTTTATTTTCATGAATTAACTTATACTTAATTGTCACATGTAAAACATGAAATTGTGTACTTGTTCACTCACAATTCTCATGCATATATCATGTAAATAAAATTGTTAGTAACTTTTTTCCTTAATAAATAAGGTCCAATGTTACATTATATTTATTCAAGCCAAATGAAAAAGGATAAATTGTCATTGCCCAAGCCCCAAAATGACCAAAAATATATTTAGAATGCAAGAAAAAAATCAAACTAATTAAATTGGTTCTCTTACTAAATATCAATACAATGAATTCCTTGGACTTTTTAATCTTCAACTTGCATCAATTGCAGTAGTATAATCTTACACTGCCATTTTCTTGTTTCATCAACTATTCCTCACAATTTCCATTCTGAATTTCCATTCTAACACCAGAATATTGTTGTGGGCCCTGCCTGAGCTCATTCAGAAGATCCTAACCATATTGGTAAAATTAATCTTTGAAACCAGGAAATGACTTATAAATCAAATCTCAAAATTGAATGTTAATAATAGCATTAACCAAATGTATCTGCAGAAGTATAGTTAATTTGCTAGCATGAAGCCAATATAATTATGTGCACGAAACAGAAAAGGGACTCGGAGATGGGAAGAAATAGAAATTAATTATTCTTCTTAATGGTCTTGTCTGATAATATTTTCCAGATATTGATATGAATTGTAGTTTCTATGAGAACTTATCCTATTACAGAGTCTGCTTTAGTCCATTGCACACCATGGGCTTTCAAAAAATATTTTCCAGATATTGATATTGTGTTGTCCCCCTTCTTTTACTGTGGATATTCACAACTCTAGGTTCAGTTGGTACTCAACTCTAGGTTCAGTTGGTACTTTTGAATTGAGATGAGAAGCCTAAATACTGAGTTCAAAGTTATATGTAAACTATCCATGCTAGCCAAGAGCATACCACATTGGCACATATTTAGAAGAGGTTGATTAAATGGCTTAATATAGCTCAGGGGTTCGGCGTAAGATACTGAGCATGATAACGTACTGTTTATAAATTGGAAAGCCATAAACAAACAAAACCACAGCATTATTAGTAAAGAATTTGATTAATATTTCGTGAGAAAATTCAGTTCTTACCTTGGGATCTCCATCAGAATAGGGCTGTGGTGGATTCTTTCGTTTATCTGGTTGAAAACTGCCTTCTCTGTCATCCTTGGATCCTTGGACTTTATATTTCTGGCTTTCACCTGCTTGCTGTTTGGAACGAGTTTTTTCTTTTTCTTTTTTTAAACATCTGTTGCATCCTTTTATTTCAGATTGAACTAGTGCTTGGAAAAACAGCAAATTTTGATGAATTAATGGCTGCAGCACAAGAGGCCAGAGAAATGGATAATGGCGAAGAGCAGAACTGAGGAGAAATGTCATCTTTTTCACGCCACCGAAATGGTGTCAAGACAGTCTCTATAGTTTTGCGGCTCTGTTTTTGAGAAAAAACACCAAAATGTTGAAGATTTTACAGCTATGACATACTTTTTCGTCTGTTTCATGTTATTTATTTATTTATTTTTAACTCAAAACTTATTCTGTCTCGGACACGTTAAAGGCCGCGCCATATTCTTTGGTAAACGAATAACTGAAATTCCATTGGTCTAGCTATACATACATGTTTTCAAGTTTGTGTGATGTGAAGACCTGAATGTTGAATTGGCCTAAATAAACCTGAAAAGAAATAAGTATGAACATACAAATTAGGCTTATCGATTCACCAAGCATCAGCATTTACAGAATTAGTATGAATGTTATATGGTTAATAGTCTCCATATGGTAGCAATTTTTCACTCCAAAAAATCAAAATTTTAATCATCATTTTACTATTCAGACATCATTTTTTACCTTTTTACTTACAAGTGGAACTCATTTTTCTCTTTAATCATCAAAAAATCAATTCTTATAATCACTATCGAACATATCCATAATATAATTGGCTATGATAATTTTTTAATATATTTCATGGGACTTACAAGGATTATTTATTTATCCATTGTTTCTATTTATGTACAATTATGCCTTCCAACATGTTATTAATTTGAGTGTTTATAACCCAATTGAGTGCGTGCTTTCATTTTTTAAGTTTGAGTTTTATTCAATGTAATTGTTACAATTGGTATCAATGTATACTACTTTTGGGGATGATCCTTGTTGTGCACAGAAGCCACATCATTGTGGTTATGGGTTGATTGTGATGTCAAATTGAATGTAATGTTTTTAATTGTATTTTACTTTACAAGTGTTTACTTGGCGTGGTACTTAGGAGTTACTAATATTTTAGCATTTGACAAATGTTGTTGAATTTTGAAATAGAAATTTAACTCGGCTACTTTTATTACATAAAAGTGTATTAATTACTATCTTACCAAACAATATTTTAAAACTTTAACCAATTTTTAGCTGTTTGTGTTATTTTTATAAATATTTATTTCATTTTTTATTTATATATTTGGAGAGATTTACAATTATTGTCTATTTGTTTACTATTAATTTTTATCTATTTGTAATTTAAATAGTTTATAAATACAATCCAAACATCACAAATTGAAGTGTAATTCAATTGAAAGTATTTTTTTTAAAGGAAAACACACGAAAATTGACGTACTCGTACTAGTCCAGCGGCACTGCACTTCTTCACCCCGCGAACTCTAAACTATTTGCCCCTTAAGCCGCAGATTGATTTGCTCAATTCAGCTTCATAAATGGTGATTATATCACTCTCCTATCGGGCCAGACCCACCTATAATTTCTTCCAATCGTTCCTGCACCGTCTCCTCTTTCAAATTCAACCCTACAATAGTTCCGAAACTACTCGCAGTTTTCTCAATCTCCCCGTAATTCACCGCCAAAATTCCATACCATTTTCATCTCAGTCACATTCAATTCAACCCCAACAATTCTTAACTGATTATTCTACACAGAACCTTGTCAATGAGCTTTCCCGCGTTCTCAGTGACTACAGAAGCCCAGGCCATGACCTTGATTCAGCTCTTACCCCATTTGTTTCGGAAATCAATGCAAACTTGGTCGAACAAGTATTGAAGAGATGTAAAAATCTTGGATTTTCTGCTCAAAGATTCTTCCTTTGGGCTCAGAAAATTCCAGGGTTTGAGCATAGTAGAGAAGCTCATCATATTCTTGTAGATATCTTGGGGAGCAGCAGACAATTCCCATTGCTTTGGGATTTTTTAGTAGAGATGAAAAGGGCTGAATCTTTTTATATTAGCCAAGAAATATTCTGGGTTGTTTTTAGGGCTTATAGTAGGGCTAATTTACCTGCTGATGCTATAAGAGCTTTCAATAAGATGTCTGATTTTGGAATTAGGCCTTGTGTAGATGATCTGGATCAGCTTTTGTTTATACTGTGCAAAAAGAAGCATGTGAAGCATGCCCAGGATTTTTTCGACAGAGTTAAAGGCCATTTTACCCTGACAGTGAAAACTTATAGCATTTTGATCAGGGGTTGGGGTGAGATTGGAGAGTCAAGTAACGCTCAGAGGCTATTTGATGAAATGCTTGAGAGAGGGTGTGGAGTGGATTTACTTGCTTGGAATAGTATGTTGGACTCTTTATGTAGGGGACAGAAGATAAATGAGGCGTACGAATTGTTCCGAGGGATGAGGCATAAGGGGCTAGAACCGGATGCATACACATATTCAATATTTATTCGTGCTTCGTGCGAAGCAAATAATCTTCACTCAGCTTTTAGGGTCCTCGATTCTATGAGAAAGTATGATCTTGTCCCAAATGTGTTTACTTACAACTGTGTTATCAAGAAGCTTTGTAGGAATGAGAAGTTGGATGAAGCTTACGAGCTTCTAGATGAGATGATTGAGAGAAGGGTTAGTCCGGATACTTGGAGTTATAATACTATTTTGGCTTTTCATTGCGATCATAACGAAGTTAATAAGGCACTAAGGCTAATTTCAAGAATGGAACAAGATGCTTGCCAACCCGACAGGCATACATATAATATGGTGCTTAAAATGCTCATTAGAATAGGAAGGTTTGATAGAGTTGAGAAAGTTTGGGATTACATGGAAGAGAGAGGATTTTATCCTTCAGTTTCGACATTTGCCGTCATGATTCATGGTCTTTGTAAGAAGAAAGGGAAACTTGAAGAAGCGTGTAAATACTTTGAAATGATGATTGACGAAGGGATCCCACCATACAATACAACATGCGAGTTGTTGAGGAACAAACTTGTAGGGATGGGATTGGCTGAGATTACAGATATATTAGCAGAAAAGATGGAAAGAAGCACTTCTTGTTCAATACAAGAGCTATCAACCATCATGAGAGGTAACAGGGCACACGCAAGGGTGAAAATTGAAGAGGAATGGTCTGAAGAAAGTGATTAATATTCTGAGAAAAGTGTTGAGCGAGGGAGTACTTTGAACACAATATGGAAAACCATGTGAAAATGACATTAAGTTGTGAATGGATGGAGACTGTCCTGCACTGCATGGTATTTACGGTGGTACCAATATGTGTTCTGGAGTGTTCTGATGCACAAAGACTGAGGCCAGAGATGTGGAGACTTATCAGGATTATTGAATGGAAACCTTGCTATAGGTGTCCTCAAGGGAAATCAAGTGATTGCTTTTTCTCTATTTCTGTTTAAAATATTGTTTTAAACAAGCCTTCCTAATTTACGTCTTAGTTAGGATTATAATTCCTTTTTCAATTTCGGAGCAAGTTGCAAAAGTATTTGTTCCATTATGTAAATCCCGTTCAAATCTTGGATATCACAAACCAAGAAGATGGAAAACCCTGGAAAATCCTTCCCCTTTGTATGGTGCCAAAGATTAATGCAAGGGAAATGAATATGCAATCAATCATAACTAAGGGATACATTTTGAATTTGCATATCGTTTTCCTTTCTTTATTTTTCAAAATGTTTGATTTTATTTAAAGAATATCTAATTCCATTTCTGTTTGTCGGAGAGAAGAACTGCTGAAAGTTAGTTTCCCTAGTTTATTGTTCCTGTCCCTTTTCTCACTGAAATTCAGGATGCTATGAAGCCTAAATATTTGAACGATTTTCTTAATGTTAATCACAATTTTAGTTATATACTAAGATTAATTTCTCTTCCTTTGTTTACTTTCCAATGCAGGCATTTTGAATTTGTTTTCTTGTTTATGTTGACAAGCTGCGGCCTGCATTCAAGTGTGTTATTATTGTGGACTCTATCAGATGAGATGTTATGTGAGTACAATTTATGTTTTTTTATTAATTACCAGCATTTACCTTTTTCAAATGTCGTGAAAATTGACAACTGCTTATGAAGTATAGAATGAGGACCATATTATATTCCACACACCATTTTATAAGTCACTCGATTGATCCTATTGCAGTTAACCATTGAGAACGCTACCTGGGAAAGTGTGAATCTAGCCTCTCTTGATATGTCTGCTTTTCATCAATCTACGATCTCACTTGCTCCAACAAATTCTTTGCAATATGTAGGAATAAAAGTTTTCATTTATAGAGTACTATGTCGCCTTTTGTGCTGAGGAATGTTTAAACTTTTGTTTTGTACTGTTAAAGCTGAAGTAACCCGCGTCACCAATTCAAAAACCTCTGCAATCTTCAAGCATCTCAACCACAATATTAATCCAGTCTAAAGACAATTAAATCTCTCTGACCATTGATATCAAATGAATGCTAAACATTTCTCTAGGTTTATTGGCTTGTGCCAGTTGAATTTTCTTGACGACTTGCCAGTTTTGCATTAGAAATAAAATTTAATTGTTGCAGCATGGACAGACTATCATTTTCCCTTTATCAGCAACACTAACATTAGCAATAGCCAACACAATCTTTGCCAAACTATCATTTTCCCTTTATCACCACCCATGGCATCCGTCTTCTCAATTTGCCCACTCCAGTTAATAAAAAACCTTGCAACAATTTCTCTTTCGCCAGAAAATGCTATTATACTTTAGAGCTGCAATGCAATCATGGAAAATTAATTATGATGTAAACCTAGAGTAGGCAGAAACATAGTAAAAATTTAAGACTTCTATGGAGAGACTGGGGGAGAATAATATTTTGGTTAGGTGGTTGGGTGGATTTATGTAATGAAATTTAATACTTAACTTTACATCAAAATAGAATCTAGAAAGATAGATAGAGAGGCTAACCATCGTACTTTAATTGCCAGCCTTCATGGGGTTCATACCCACTAGAATCTGAATGTTGGGTGCTTATCCTAGCTGCATGTTAGGATTAACTTCTGTTAATTTCTTTAGGTAACTTCCAAACCAGAGATTACTTGAATTATTTAATCCTACACATAGGCAACAAATTCAGATTGAAGGGGTGTATGCATGTATTTGTTTTCAGTTTTGGGGTGGTTTGATCTTTCTCTCTCATTCAATTTTGACTGGCTTCCAATGCAGACATTTGCTTTTGGTTTATGTTCTTGAAATGCTGCAGCACATTATCTATTGCTTATGATTGACTTCACCCCTTATCACTTTTTTCCCATTTATTGTTTTAATTCACTTTCGGTCTGATGATTGTAGGTGTGATGGTGTTTGAGTTGCTCGCTTGCTGAACGCTACTCTTGTTTTGCCCAAATTTGAAGTGGCTGCATATTGGAACGAAACCAGGTAAGCGATGGTTGTGAGTCTATGGACAAAGGACCATTCCTTTGCATTTACAGGATTTTTTCACTGAAGTAATTGAAAAAAACTAGTCTGTAGAGTTCAGTCCCTTAAGCTAAAGTTAGGTGAAGTAAATTGATGTCTTTTAACCCAAGGGAAGAAATTTCCTGCCTCACTTTCTCGTGTTAGAGACTTGGAACCTGAACAATACCTTGGAGAATTTCATTTACTTAAATGAAACTATCCATATATGTAAATCTCTCTTGAAAGCTCCAGGATTCCCTCTCTCTCAAATAATTCTCGTCTTTGGTATGTTCTCTCAATTAATACGACTTAATTAGGGTAGGGTTGCTTGGATATTATTATGTGGATGAGAAACATTCAGCAGTCTGCTCACACAAGGAAATCTACATCTTCAATTTCCTTTGCAATTTTCATTCATTCGAAGCAAGCAACAGTAGCCTAAATTATTATTTTACAATGCTGTGGATTTGGACATGTATTTGGTGTAGACCTTTTTCATCCAACAAATGAGCAACTTCAAAAGAGTTGCCTGGAGAGATTGCATCAAAAGAACCCTTTCATGTTGATTGTAGCAAACGTAAAGGTTTATATGACCATGTTGAAAGTGTGCTTCCTCCCCTTTTGGAGCATCGTTTTATTTCATTCACGCCAGCAATGAGTCAAAGAAGGGATAGGTACAACTATGTATTCTTGAATTCCTTTGTTTTCGTAAAAAGTGTCTTATCATAATTAACTAACATGTAACACAGTTTCTAATCAACCTTGCTTTCTTCTCTGCTCATTTATTCTTGCGGAGGCACAAATTATATTTATTCTCTGTTGTCTTGTTCTATTTTGTGTTGTTTTGGGTGGTGGTTGGTAGGGTGGGTTTGGTGGTTACGATCTTGGGGATCTAAAACATTGAGGACTTTCATAATGAATTTGAAAAAATTAAGTTCATTGCCAATCTATTTGTTCTATTCCAAATAATTTCCCTTAAACTGGCTTTTTTAGTGGAAGATTACCTTCGACATAAATGATAATTCTGGCCATGATGTAGAAAAATAGATTATTTATTTGTTTATTATTTTTGGGAAAAAGGGACATGCTGACTACTCGGACATATCATGCCAAATTCTTTCATTGAGTTCTTGCTCTTTACTATGCATTTGCAATTTTTGCAAGATGTGTTCATCAAGATCCCAGAGTGCTTATAATAATTAATTTTGTAGGTATCCACTGTATGCGAAAGCTGTAGAAAAATAGATTATTTATTTGTTTATTATTTTTGGGAAAAAGGGACATGCTGACTACTCGGACATATCATGCCACATTCTTTCATTGAGTTCTTGCTCTTTACTATGCATTTGCAATTTTTGCAAGATGTGTTCATCAAGATCCCAGAGTGCTTATAATAATTAATTTTGTAGGTATCCACTGTATGCGAAAGCTGTATTCTGTCAGGTATGTTATAATGCTCTGCGCTTAACCGGCACGTTGGAGAAGAAAGCGTCTGAGCTTCTAGATGCTATACCTGAGCCCTTCCTTTCACCTCACCTTCGGCCTAATCTTTCTCCTGCTTCTATGCAAGCCATATTTGCAGCACGAGGAGACCGGAAAGCCTGGACTGTAGAACAGGCTCGAATATGAAGAAACCGGGGTAAGTGGCCTCTCACTCTAAATGAAACGGCTCTCATCCTTTGAGATCTTTCTATCCCAACAGAAATATTTATTTGGCAGCCGGGGATGGCCTGATGGAACTCGAAGGGTTAACTTCAGTCTACACCAACGTTTTTACTGAGTCAACCTTTCATAGTGTTGAGGACTTTGCAAACATGCATGGAAACACGAAAGCTGCACTGGATTATTATTTGTCCATCAGCAGTGATTCATATGTGGCCACTTATTTCGGAAATATGGATAAAATGGTTGCAGCAATGCGTAGTTTCAAGGGATTGCCGAGAACACTTTTCTTAAGCCGGAGGGGTTTTGCTGTGTTGACTTCTCAGGGGCTCAAGGGGAAGGCACTGCTCGAAGCGCTATGGAAAGTTCATAGAGATGAGTTTGTAATGGGTGTGGGATCTGCTTTTGTGAATTCGAGTCATGGGTTTTATTAGCGTGAACTCACCGCTATGGTAGAGTCGATGTTTGAAAAATATAAAAGCTTTTATTAGATTATAAGTTGGGATTATTAGCTTAGCTTGCGAAATTGTAAATATCAAGAAAGTAAAAGTAGATAAGATTGTGGGTTAGTTAAGAATCTATAGCTTTTATTAGATTATAAGTTGTGATACTTAGCTTTCGAAATGTGTAGATACTAAGAGAGGAAAAGTAGACAAGATCATATACGTGTGATAGTTTGATCAACTTATTAAAAAGTATACAAGATCGTATAGGTGTGATAGCTTGATCAATTTATAAGTAGTTAAAAACTTTGTCAAACATGTACGAAGGATGAGCATGATTCAATTTTATTTAATTTCCTTCATAAATTTTCATACTCTTGATCAAATTTACGATAATTGGCCAAATACTTGAGTAACTCTATGCAAAGCAATCACGTCTAGTTCACTAATTAGTTAGTCACTCAACATGAGCTTAGGAGAAACACACAGTTTGTTAAGGTAGAGAATTAATTCAGCTATTGTGGTGTTATTGTTAATAACTAACATCGTATGAACCCATTTCCATTTTGACATTCGATGTTGGATCTCCAATTTTATACAAATAGTCGTCGTCAAGGACCTCTTTGCTAAAAGATACAAATGTAACGACCCAAATACAAAAAGATTTGAACGAATACATGAATGTTAATCATACTAAAGAAACGTTAACAAATTGACAAGGAGTCTTATAAGAAGAGTCTACACTGGTATTCTCTTCGTCCGAGCTTTCAAAGCTATACTAACCCTAGATATCTGAAAATTCGACACCAGCAGTCCCTTTTTAAGCATTCTCACATTTCAGGTGACGATATTGACACCTTCGAACGTAATTTCCACTAAACATAGAAATAAAATGAAATCCAGAACCAAACAATAACCAGGCAATTCAACATTCTTTTCTTTTGCATTAATATAATCTCAATTATTTTCATTTTATTGTATATACAGTTTAAAATTTTCCAAAAAGCCGCAGATATTCTCAACAATGACAGGCATGCAATCAGAACAAATATTGATGATTGAACCTATTACAAAATAAACAAAGAATATTACACTTCTTGTACTAAAAAAATTACCAACTTTTTCTGATTTGGATTCCTAAAATACTTATACGAGTCTGGAATTCTATCGTTCCTCCCTAATCAACTGCTTTATAAACCATGAACCGATCTATCATCATTATCTTCAGCCACCAATGATAAGACAGACATAGGCCATTGACCTCTCTGTCAGTCAAATAATGAAACCAAAAATTTCAAAAAAAGGTGCAGAATTTATGCCCTGCATAAGAAATGGAAAAATATATTAGCGCCCTTAAGGTTGTTAAAGCATATCACAATAGAAATGGAGATAGTACTTTGTTTAATCCTTTTGAACTTTGTTAACTTAATTTCTGTTTATTCATTCTCCGTTACATTTGAGGATGGAATGACAGTACAATGATGATACCCAAAAGAGTTAAAAACTTCATTATAGTTCTTACAATCACTGATAATCTGTTAATCATCCATCCCACCACCAGCCAAAGTAAAAATGATTTATCTGATTCCTACTATAGATATTAGCTGAAAGCAAGAGAGAACTAGAAATTTTTTAAGCAAACATTGGGAAAAAGTTCAAGTCTAAGTGCATATGGCACCAAAAAGAAATCCGATTTCAGGTAAGAATATAAAGTCTAATCTTTTATCGTAATATTCATTCCACACATTTCTTTTCCCTTGATAAAATAAATTGATTTCCACATATCGAGAACAAAACATGCAAACAGTTTCTATTGAATCGTGCCCATTCTTTGCCACCTTATGATAGATTACTCTAAATGAGAATTTGAAACTAGCACATGGGTTTCAATACAGTAAAATCCTTCGTTCATATGGCATGAGTGATCCATACAGACACAAAAAAAGAATAATTCAATAATATATATATATATATATATATATATATATATATATTATTTTT